TAGATATTAATGGTAGTTTAATAAACAGGTATTTAAGTTAAAAACATCAGACTGCACCTGACACCGATCACTTATGGATCTCATTAGCATCCATTTTCTGCATGTTTTATGTAGACTCAGGTTGACATTTTGGTTGAAGTTCACTCTGCAGAAAGTGTCTCTTACATGAGTGAAAAAAACCCCAACAAATAAGTAGGTCTTTTTTTTGACCTGGAGGATTACATAGGTTTTGGTTTAGTTCTTAATGCAAAATGTACATGTTATTTTATACATGTTTCTAAGGTTTCAATCCCTTAAAATAAGTAAAATAAAAATACAGCTTCCCCATCTGCCCTTCTGAACATACATCCTACCTCAAGCTTTAGCACTTCAAGAGTCAGACTGTCCGCACCACCAGAGCTAGGTGACATCTTCTGGATAATACGTCAGGGTTGGGCAAAATCACGTAAATCAAACTCAGTGAAATGATTTCAAAAAATGTAAATGTCCTAAAAAACACAGGTAACTTTTTTTTTCATTTTGGATGATTCTATGTCTGAACATTGGACTTCCAGTCTAAAAAGGCCATCTTGCTGAATTTGACTAGATTTTGAAAAAGAAAGGAGAAAACTGCATACAACTTATTTTCTTATGCAGGTTCTAAAACTTATAATTATGGCCACTAAAATCATATACTCTGTTTAAAAAACCAATACAAAACCAGAAAATTCATATAAAATCAAGTAATTATTTAAGGCTTGCTCAAGGATGCTGTTGGTCTGACCCTGCAAAATACTTAGGCAGGTGCTTAATTTTAAGCATGTGAGTCAATGTGCCAAGAGAGATTTTATGGTGAACACTAATGCACAAATATTAGTTAGACTGGCTCTTCCACTTCAAGATAAGCATGGACGTAAGTGCTTTGCTGGATATGGATCAGGATGCTCAGCACCTAACAGGACTTTAGGCGCTGGTCCAGGAAAGCACTTACTCACATGAACAACACTGCTGACTTTAAGATCACTGCTCATGTGCTTAACATTAGGCATGCTCGTAAGTGCTTTCCTGGAAGGGCCCGATAGACCAATAGCGTATAAGCTATAAAATTTGAAGCAGTGTATGTTTAACACACCGCATATTTAACAATGTTAATCTGCTGAGATTTGCTTTTTCTTGGAACAGGGTATGTCTAACTTCAAGCATTTATTTTCAGAAAGTGCGTAAAAAAAGCCTTTAAAAGCTGCTTTGAGATTACGGCAAGTTAAAATAACATTAGCGAGTCTCCTTATGCTCCTTTCATTTCTTCTTTGCATGTCTTTGCACAGGCATCTAAAAAGGAAAGAGAAAACCCTAGTCATAAACATTAACCTATTCAAATAAGCATCCATGCATTTACTTTTCCTCTAAAAAACATCGTCAGATGTAACTGAACACCTGAAAACAAGCATCATTGAACTCTTCCAGATTTCCGATCTGAATGCAAATTCTGCCAACTGTCCTGCCTTTTCCACTGAAAATATTCAAATCACCAATTGTCACTTCTACAAATAGGACTAAGTTTATTACTTAAGATTGAAAATGATGTGCAAGTTCAACCCTTACATATCGCTAAGTCAGTGCTGGTATTTCCGTATGAAGTTTTCCATGCCCACTCATCTCAATCCATTTGCAATGTGAAGTCTAAAAAGTGGAAATGTAAGAGCTGTTTAATCCCAAAACAACAACTATAAAAGCATCACAACTCATCAGATATTTACAGGAACGTGTAGAGATGGCATGTTAATCCAGAAAAAGAAATAAAGTAAGACCACATTTCTATAATGGTGCTGGCATATTGTTTCATACTAAGCTAACTAAGGAAGAAATAGCAAAGCAGCACTTCATAATGACCTACTGCTACTGCTGGCCAGGCAGAGTAACTATATTTAAATCCTCATTGTGGTAGGAAATATTGTTTTATGTATTTGGCACCATATGCTCTTCATAACTTCTTACAGCTACATGTTGAGGAAGTTTCAAAGTTACTAAATGTATTTCATTCTTTCCTAAAGGGAAAAGAGTTTTTGTTTTCACATGAAAGCTCTAATGGCTTTTGGAAATGGCCTATTTTTTTTTGTCATGCACATATTCCCGCTCAACCAAAAGCACAGTCACTAATAAAATTACTATTGTTGTAAGTTACGGCATAGCTGACAGCTGAAGTCGAGATGTGACACACTAAAGCATAATGCACCTATGCACAGAGGAAGAACTCTAGACTTAGTCCTTCAGTGCAGCGGCAGATGTGAAAGTCATGCACAGAGAAAGAAAGAAAAAAAAATCGGTACGCCAGATCAGAAGTCAGCACAAAGGCCTCCCATCTCTATCAGAATTGTCCTCCTTCTGTGTCCTAAATTCTGACCAGAGAAACTGGGACTTTTTCTTAGAAGAAAGGTTCTTGAACTGTTCAGTCAATGAAAAGACACATTTCCAAAATTTATTGCACAAAACTTTTGGACTATTTAAAACCAAACCCCTAAAACTAGCAGGTTTAAATATCCAGAAGAGGAGCTTCTACCATATACTTGTTCTACCTCACGGTTCCCGTTTCTAACATAACTCTCTCCCATTCTTGGTTTTCCACTCAAATATCCATCCCATGCTTGTCTGCTTTCTCAACATCTTCCAGTGCTTGGAATTGGCTTTCCATAAATAGATACACAATTCCTTTCCTCTCATTTACCAAAATGCTCCCTAAGATATTGCTTACTGCACAAAACTTCTCCATTAACGTGACAGTATGTGCCTGTTCTTTTTCTTTCATAACATTATCCTCCGCTTTTGAATGGTGGTTTTCAAAAGTTGTCATCACTGGTGCATCCCTTCTCCTACTGATAGGAAGTTGGGGGGGTTTCTTTGACTGTCAAATAAACTGCTGGCCTAGGCCGCATGTTTTTCAAAATCTAACCCTTCCAGTTCATGACTGCAATTGCTCATTCTAGGCTCACCAAATGCTAGTTCTTCCCAATCATAGCAAAGACCCATCAGATACACCAGTACGTGCTGCTACAGGGCTGGTCTTCACTTACAGCCTAGACGAGCGAGGTAGGCAAAAAGCAAGATGGCAATTCTAAAGGTGGTGCACTTAGAAATTGTCAGACCAATGACACCTACTATTTAAACTCGTCTGATAGTTAACATCAGAAAAGGTAACTTTACCAATAGGGCTGGTGAAATTCTGCTAGACAGCTGAACAGCAATGCAGTGTGGTGTAACAGGAACTTCTCGATGGCTCCATGTAGCAATTCCTATTTTTTGTGTGTCCCCTACTGCTCCCCACCCCCTTATATTTTTTCAGAAGGTTGACATTCATGACTGGAATTCTAGATATAATAAATTACGTATAATAAATTTATATATTATAAATGATATAAAATGACTTGGGAGAATGATTGCAACTGAAAAATCAATAAAGTCTCTGCATTTGGATCACACACTTCTCAACCTACATTCAAACACTAATACTATGGGCTGATTTTCAGAGATAAGGAAGACTTACAGTAGTGATTCCTCAGAATGCCTGAAAAGCATTTTTTCCTAAGGAACTTCATTTTGGGTCTTGATAATCCACTTCAGACAAACATTTTTAAAACTGCAAATATTAACTGTACGCTATTGGGAGGCCATCCACATTTGTTAATTAAATCTCTGCAATTACGGATAATAATTCCATAGATTTCCAAATATTTTCCTCTATCTGAAATTCCAACCATACTGACTTCCCCATTTACAAAATACATCTGAAACTTTGAAAAAAAAAAAGTGGTTTGAAAGGCATACAAACTCCAACAACAGTTGCAAAACTGCACACAACACACAGCAAGGCTTCTCATTCATTTCTGGTTGGAAGGGAATGCCACAGAGCTCTTTAACCTAACAGACACCACTGTAATCCAAGGGTTGCCAATGGCAGCAAGTAAGTCTGAAGTGGAAAAACAGCATAGTTACTAAAAACGAAGAAAGTCCTAGTTTCTCTGAAACTCCCCATTATCAATGGATATAGGCAGAATCTCTACTGAACTGAAGTAGCAAAGAATGGCATATTTTAAGAGCATCTTTCTAAAACACGCATTGTAGTTGATCCACAGTAATGTGTCAGTGCAGCAACACCGATGAAACTGTGAGTGTTGTGCAGAATTGGCTAGACCTATACAAATGACCCCAGTGACTCCATCTCTTTTTCAGTTCTGTGAATCAGGGAAGTTGCAACATAGCAGATAGCTATCGCTCTGAATACATAGGAATACTCCATAATGAGGAAAGAACAGACCCAAGAGTAGTGCGCTTTAAGTAACAGTCCTACCTTGTGCAGAACTTCCTAACACTAAACCTTATCTAAGACACTCATACTTAAGCTTTTGAATCCAGCTCCAAATAGGCTTCCTTCAAAACCCCAGTTTTGCCTTTAAATAAATCTTTACTTAATTATTTTTGTAAGGACCGATTAACCTTGGAACTGAACATAAAAATACTCCTATATTGCTATGTGTTAAGAGATTTATCATGTAAGCCCGAAGTGATGCTGTAATTCTTGAAGGATTAAAATTTACACACAGGAAAATACCAAAACCCTTTAGAAATGTCCTGAAGCCTAACCTAACTCTTGAAACATACAGCAAACACAAGCAGCATAAATTTGTTACACAAAGCACTTTATTGCATTATATGCACATTGACATTTATTGCAATTTGTTTCTAGCATATTCAAAACAACGCAAATCCCAATATAGATGCTATCTTTGCCTCGATAAACCGCCATCAACAGTAACGCTTACATCAGCACTTAGATTTGGGTCAACATAAAAATCTAATGATGCCATCCTACTCTGCTGTTATACTGGGCAAAAATCTCCAGAAAGTCTCAAAAAATAATGCTCCTTATGAATGAAAAAACTTTTTAAAAAAACTCAAAGGAAGGCATTCCAGCCCAGAATGGAGTGCAACAGAGAACACTCTGTGGTGGCCTTGACTGAGCTTGCTCTAGAAGCAGCAGCAGTACGGTATCGTACCATGCTAAACCTTGCTTCTCGGCTCACAGGACCACGCTAAAGTAGCAAGGCTGCCTTCCCGACCCAGGCTGGAGTATCTGCATGGTACTGCCTTGCCCTGCTCAGGCATAACAGCTCTGTCCCATGCTAGCTCACAGATCTCTTCATTGCACTCCACCATGTACACAGACATGCCCGGCATATACTATACTAAAAAAAAAAACCCAGGAGACATCTTTAGCTTAACATAAAAATAACCACTGTATAAAACTCTTTCAAGAACAAGTCTTTATTTTGATGCTTTAGATTTGGAGCTGAAGAAAGAAGAAATGGATTTCATTCCACTCTTATCAACTTTGGCCAGAGCCTTCTGTGCTGCAGACATCTTGCTGTTTGCCTGTTAGTGAAATGATAAACAGAAAAAGTTAAGCAGCATCTCCATAGGAGGGGAGTATAAGCTACAAATTCCTGAATACAGAAGTCAAGCAAGAAGTTGAATTGCTTTTTTAGTAAACAGCAGTAAAGATAATGTTATGCAGGCTTTAAACTGTAGGAGAAAAACCTTACAAAACAAATTTGAGATTATTCAAACAGAAAAATACTTGTCATGAATTACTTAACCTCAGACAAAGATAGAGAATCAATTACAAGGACAAGGAGGTGAAACATCTTTCCTTTCTGCACAATGAGGTATCCCAACTCAAACGTTTACTTTGGAATAATCCCTGAGTGTACATTAAGAGGAATAATGCATGCAATATAACAGATGCATACTGTACCCTCCGACTCAATCTCATGATTATGCTGTCAGCAGGCTGAATTACAGCCTTGCATTACAGATGATGAATAATTCACACTGATTTATTATCAAAGACTCTATGCACAGTGAAATAAAGGGAAAAGGGATGGAAGAAGTAAGAATGAAGAAGGTAACTAACATTTGCAAAGCACTTTGAGGCCACTGGGACAACTTCCCAGACTTTTACACCTAAAACACATTTTATGAGCCACATTTTATAGAGCTGATCTCTTTTCTTTCTTACATTTTAAAGTGTTATGTTTTAAATCTCTAGCTGTTTTCCCTATTAAGAAAACTTTGCATTGACCTTTCTTTATGATACTCCTCAGTCTGCAGGACTTCACTATTACAATACTTGGGATCAGCTAGAAGGTTATGGATAGGAGATATGCAACAACAGTATGACCGTCTGCGTTACTATACAAACAAAAGCACGGCCAAAGTATTTTAAAAAGAGTAGTATACTGTACAGTGTCCAAGAGCTATCTTTTCTTTCCCAGATTCTCTCATCAATGTGCTTCATTATTTCAGAAGTAAATCATATTTAATGTTAAAATGAATTATCTCTCCTCAGTTTATTTCTATCTTTATGCTCAGTTCAAAAGCCATAGGTACACAACGGGGGAAGGGGAGAAACATGCATATTTTAACTATTTATCACCTTCACTTAGGGGCCAACTCTCTTCTTACTTCAAAGCTAGCATGTGCCCTGAGTACAAAAAATTCGGAGGGTTTTGAGGGGAGTAAGGAATGCATCTGTCACCAGCTGCTTCTCTTTGCAAAGGGATAAAGAGTAGTCAGCACCAGTCTGAAGTTCACAAGACCAGCAGAGAGGGCCTTTTTGGTTCCCGATGGACTGGAGAAGGATTCATTTTCTTTCAGTGTTCAGAGAAATAAGCCAGTGCAAGCCTCACAACCTTGGCACACACAGACAGGATCTATTTCTTTTCACATCTCTGTTGCTCTCCTAGGAATAATACAGTGGCAGGCACCACTGGACTTGGATTTGAATTGGCCTCCAAACTTGCATTGGAGCTGGCAATCAGCAAGCTCTGTGTGGATTTAACTTCACTAAGTTGACATAAATAAGTGCACCAGCAATATTTCTAGGTAAAAATAAAGCCTCGTCTTAGCATCCCTTGGAATTTAAGTGAATGCTGCCATCTTTGTTTCTTTTTCAAATAACTGAAATTTAACAGTTGTTATCACTAAGCCACAGGATTTCTCATCTAAAGATCTCAAAGAGCTTTGCAAGTATTAGCTGAGCACCTTAACATGTGTCAAAGTCTGTGAGGTTCACTGGAAAGTTCACTGATAAAATATAGTCAAACAGTACAGAAGAGTTCAGAATGGGACACTATCAAAGTCAAATTAAACCTGAATGAAAAGTTCAAGGAGATGTAACTACAGACATCTGCCATTTTGTATTTGTTTTTCTGATGTGTTTTGGAGGAGAAAAATAGGCTCTCTGTGCTAATGTTGGATACTAATCTATGCTTTAGCAAAACATGCATGAATGCAAGGCTTGCTTACCTTTTTGGTTTTCAGATTGCTGCTGTTAAACTTAGTATAGTCTTCTTCTGCTTCCACAGGGACATCTGATAATTTCCTTTTCTGAAATGTTAGAGTGAGGAAGTTGCTCTGTCAACCACTTTTATGATGTACACACATGGAAGTTTAAAGCTTTGGCTTTATAACGTAACCATAGCACCAAAACAGGACTGGCAATCAAGTGAAGAATCTGCAGTAACAGTGGAAGATTTCTCTTTGTAATTGTCTTCTTTACATGTGAATATATACCATCTCCACAGTATTCAGAAGAGATCATTCAATGTCACGGGAAGCATTTTCTTCTTCCTAGCCTTCTGAAGAAAGACTTCTAGAAATCACTTGAATCCCATTTTTAACTTCCATAATTGTGACTTTGGTGTCAGAGTCTGTTTAGAGAACCTTTATGGAGCAGCTGTTGGAAGTTCGTATCTAACAGCCAGGGAATCTAGACTCTGGTCCCTATGGTTTCATGGATCTGTGCAGCAACTCCAGTGTTATTGCTATCTGCGAACACAAGTGGATCACCATCTAGTCTATTATCTGTTTGCACACCACCTTTAGAAGTAATTAGTTTCTACAGCTTGGCAACAGTGAAACACTGACATAGTTCTGCTGACTGCTTCATCACTTGAATCCAACAGTATATTAAGAAGCTTGACTCTGCATGTGTTGGGTGCCTTCTAACTTGAAATAATGAAAGTGAACGGTTCTCGGCACTTCACATGATCAGGCTGTAAGAATGAATATTTCTTTCCATAAACTGTGAGCATGTGTTTAGTTTAAAGGTGAAAACTTCCTGGTATGTTTCCAAAAGGGAAAAAAGTATATAGTATTTTACAACACTGTATTTTTATTATTATTTTATATCTGATATTACTACCCTGTCCTTAATATCCTGTGAAATCTAAACTGTGGCCTTCCTAGTTTTTGTGCCAGAGAGTGATTTTGCAAAGCAACTTGGATGGTACCATACATTTTAAGATCCTGGTTTATTCATTTTGTTTATGGTGCTTGTGATCTCTCTCTCTCCCCCTCGCCCTGCCTTTGGCACAGAAGCCAGGTCTGCAGCTTAGATTTCTCAGCTCTTAGAACCAGATCCAACAGCAGCCTTTTCTTTTGATTTCAATGGTATCTGGATCAGCGTCTCTAAGAGGCTGTTTACTGTGCTGTGATTACATTTTCAAATGACAATCTAATGAATAATCACTATTCTCCTCCTTTTGGAATCTGATAAACAAGATATTAGAACTTACAGCAAAATGTTTGCATTTCAGCAAAACATTTGCTGCTTAGCTGTAGCAGAGCCTACATATTTTTTGTAGGTGCCTCTCATCATCTGCCAATTGCCAGACTCCATAAGCCGACAAACTGGACAGTATGACAATTACAACACAAGATCAATAGCTTACAATTAATACAAAGAACATGTAATTTTGATTTCATCATTAAATCACAGAGTCCAGACTGTAGCCAGTTTACTCTTGCACTACAAGACAGAGAATCTGTCGAAGCTTTCTGTTAAACACTGAAGTTTCTAAATCTCTCCTCCCTTCAGAATTTATTTTAACACAATTTCTAAACATGCAATTACTTTACCATAATAGTAAATACGTTAGACCCTTCTTTATCTGAAATAATCCTATACTATGTATGTCAGTACACCTTGCTGTCATGAAGAGAAATGTCAATGCAAGTGAATAAAAATGCTCTGAAGGAGACTATAGGTTCCAGTGTACAAGACTGCCTTGCTCCTCTGAGACTGTGAAATAAAGGAGTGTTTTAATCTCTGAAGTTGCAAAGACTTAAACACAGAAGCATCATACACACCCTGGTCAGTGCTCTGGAAATTAATCAGATCCTCAGCAAGATTTCATTGCCCAACAACAGAACAGTTCTAAGCCTTATTTCCTCTGTAACCAAACTGCTGAAATAAAACTATTTTTAAAAATAGATTCTCAGAACTATCCCAATGGTATAAAAGCTATTCGTTCATAATATGTAATGCACATCACATGTAGTTTAATGTAGTTGTTGTAACATGCTTATATGGCTAATGAATATCAGTTGGCTCCTGATGTGTGTTTAATATTTCTTACAAGGCATAAAGATAATTCTTAACTGAATCAAAGGGCCAAGTAACTGTGCAGCCAGAACAACTGTCCAACCACATGGAAATAACTTATATCCATGGCTATACATTGGAGAACAAATGCTATTAATAACAGTAGGACCCAATTATTCCTGCATGTGCTAGCTGACATACTGTTTAACAGAACAGTCACTGAACCAGCCAGAAATGAGGTTATTTTAGACTTTGTTTCGGTAAGTAGCAGGGACATTGCAGGAAAGGTCGGTGTAGTAAGTAACCTACCTTCAGTAGAGATAGGGTGCCTCAGTTTAAATTAACCTGAAAGGATAATCAAAAGTGGGGTTCTTGATTCTAGAGGGGCAAACTCTGCAAACCACAGGCCTTCTCTAAGCCAAAGCAGAGGGACTTGACATGTGAGGAAGATACTTGGAATGTAAAAGAAAAAGATGGAAGAAGTGATTTTGGATATTTCACTTCAAACAAGGTCAAAAACCTTGAAGGGAAGAGCTTCTCAGATTAAACTATATGAATGCTCCCCCTTGCTCACACAGATGCACATGTATTCTCCCTCTCCCCAAAATAGAAGATACTAGGAGTAAGCAGAATTCTACAATGAAGGGGGAAAAAAAAGACTGCCAAAAAAAAGGGAAAGGTTTGTTTTAGGGGTCAGGTAATACTGTGATAAAGTGAGAACTGTCAAAAACTCAATCTGAGTTAGTCCTTGGAAAGGAAATGAAAACAAATAGTAGAAGGTTGTTTAGCCACAGAGGCAAAAAGGGAATCAAAAAAAGAAAAAGTGAAGCTGCTATACAGTAAGGATTGGATTGATATTAAAGCTAATCTATGTGTAGCCCCCAAATGTAATAAAACCTTTGCCTCCGTAACTTGTTTTCAATAAAGATGAAGAGGTTAAACACAGGGGCAGAAAAGAGAATAGAAATCACTCTATTCAAGATAGAAGTAAAACTCAATATGCTGACACTGTTGGGACACTGCCTCAGAAATCACAAGTCCAGAGGCAAAACCTGGCAACTGTTCTATCAGGCAGGGACCCTATTGCTGCAGAACAGCCAAACACCCATCTGTATCTAAGGAGGAGGAAGAAGTGATAGTAGGCCTCAGTAGAATGGAGGGGGAAGAAAAAGTGAAAGAAGGACGAATATTTAAAGATATAGTGTAAATGAAAACTAAACATAGGTAATGCCTGCTGACATATCTTTTTTTCTCAAAGATAACACATTTTCTGGTGACAGAAAATGTGAAGGACTGCCAGAGGACTTGACATGGTGCCACTTAAGCAACTGAAATTATAGAAAACAAAGATTGCATAAGAATTTTAAGGTAGCTAAGAAACTGGGTAAAAGGGAAACAAAGGCTAATAATGTAGAAAGGGATGTCACTGGATTGGATGGAGATTACTAGTGGAGTGCCATGAACAATATCTATTCAAAATGTTCATTAATTGTTAATTAAAGATAACAGCATGCTAACATTTGCTGAACATACACCACTGAGTAGCATTAAGAATACCTAAAGAGCTTTTAACACTGTGAAGGAAAAGCCAGAGAACCTTGAAGACTGGAAATATTAAAAACGGATTAAATGTGCAGCAGTACAAGGTCATGTACACAGCAGCTAACTGCATGAATTTCTCATAAGTCTGAATGGTGATCAACTAAAAATTGCAGTGGAGAACAAAAAAACAACTGTGTGTCCTAGCTGTTCACAGCATGACTGTGTGCTATCTGGTACATCACACAGTAATAGAGGCAAATGGGATTCTAAGATGTAATGAGATAAAGTACTTTCAGTTGAGACAAGAAGGGAAGAATGCTATCATATTGTACTGGTAAAGGTTTTATCATAATTATATATGATTCTGGTCACCTGCTTTGAAACAATTGAATTTATCTTGGAATAGGTGTAAAGAAATGTTCCTGTAATGATGAGGGAATGGAGAACCCATCTTACACAACCAAGTTTGGCTTCACAAAACGAAAACAGAAAGGATATATGTTTTCCCTTTACACAATGAGAGAACTAATGTTAAGCAGGGAAAAGAGCCATTTCAATTAAAAAAAACAATGATAATGTTAGCACAAAAGCACATGGGAATAAATTGGCCATGAATAAATTCAAGGTGGAATTTACAGAAAGGTTTCTGAGCATCAGAGGAATGAGGTTATAGAACAGTCTTCCAAGAGAAGTAATGGAAATAAAAAATCCTAATGAGACTTACAGTGAAGAATGGTCAGTGTATGCGAAATTATCCAACATGGTTGTCTGGGAATCCATGACCCAGGAGGTCCCTTTCAGGGTCCTCATAAATTACATATGAAAGAAAACCTATGAGGTCATATTGTCCCATCAACCTCAATAAAAGTAAATAAGCAAACCACATACGAAAAGACTGCTGAGCAAAACCGTAAAATATGTCTCTCTCTTTCTCTCCCCTTTTTTAAACAGGAAAACTAACCAAAATATGAAGTACCTGGTAAATTTCTTATGTTATTTCAGACTGGCTTTTCACAAAGTCAGCTTACTTACTGTATTGTACCCAGTGCTGGGCCTAGTCTAGTTCTAACAATAATTCAGAGAAATTAGCTTACAGCATAATGTATCTGTCAATATTTTAATGTTCTCCTACCTTCAACGGTGGCTCTGATGCTGGGCTTTTAAGTTCTGGGAGCCTGTAGAACAAAAGATTTTAAGTTATAAAATAAGACAGCTGGACTGCACAACCTAAAGCTTGTAATTCCTTCCTCACAAAAGCTGCTTTGGTTATCAGCTGCTCACACATGGCATGCGTTTGCAAAAATGCAGCTCATGGACTCTGTACTTCTGACTTGGATCTAACTAAAACAGAGCCAGGCACCATACAAAAACAAGGGCTCTTAAAAGCTCTTAGGTCTGGCAACCAAAACAGGAGAACTCCACCTTAGTGTTGAAAACTTTGGCTATCAGTAAGATGATATTATAAAGCACATAACATCTCTTCAAGGAAACCGTTAAGCTATGGGACTTCAAGTTGCAAATTGTGCATTTTTCCACAGGCCACCATAACAGTACCCTTTGAACAGAACTGAACTGAGGGGCAGGTACAGGGTCCCAACGATGCTCCAACCAAAGTCTGCTGCTGGCAAGGAACACCCGGATAAGGATGTTGGCTCACCTTCCAGATTTAAATATGAACTAACACAGGTTAGATATGTAAAGTCAAACCTGAGCAGCACTGAGAAAGTAGGGAGAAGGAAAGAGGATCTGGGATGAGGATTCTACTGGCTCTGCTGCTCGTGTTTGACAATTCTGGACAAACTGCTTTAACTCTATGGATTTTCTTGCCTGCCTTGCTTTAAAGTGGAATACATTGCTCAGGGTTTCACGATGCAACTGTGATAATAGCCATTGCAGACTTATATATTACACCTCTCCTCCAGCCCATGGTCCTCAGCATCATAGGAACAACAGAAAGGCATAATGTACGTTTGAAACAAATCACATTTAAAGCGCAGCAAATATAATCTCATTGTGTCATTCACTGCAATTTGGATGAACAAATCTCAGTATTAGAAACAGACCAAAAGGACATTAATTCATGTCATATAAAACTAGCAGCTAGCTGTAACAATACTTACCCTAAGCATTTTAACAACTCCTTACTCAGATCTTCAGGAATATATTCTGATATTAACCCATGGGCATATCGTACGTAGTCTTCACGAACAGGGCAGGGAGTGAGAAGGAGAAGAAAAAGAACATTCACATTATATAGCCACGTTGCCTTAGCCATGTTGCATGCATTACCATAAATCATAAGGTTGAATTAATAGTAAGAGACTTCTAATGGATACACTGTGATGGTTCTCTGTGTTGAGTAGTTTATGTTATATGACACTTGTAGGTTTATTTAAAAAGTAAAGACTTACTACACGCACTTTGTCAGCACATGTTATTAATATCTGCTGTATGTACTTTACAAAAGCTGTTCACTTTCTGCGAATACTAGATATCATGTATTTTTCCGAAGAAATTAAATTTTAAAAACCTGCAAAAGTAAAAAGCTGACTCAACGGAACACGCAATCATTAATTTTAAAGCATCTGGATCTTACAATTATTTGGCAAGGGCTTCAGTACTAAAGTACATTTTCTGGCTTCAATTGAAAACAATTAGATGAGACAATGAGTCTATTTCAAAGTCTTGTACTTAATTTCAGTACTTTACAGAAAATGCCAAGGCCTATCTAAACATCACTGGCAAGATGGGATAATTATCTGTAGAAACATGAACTACTAGAAGCTGTTTCCAGTACAGGGCACTCCCGCTACAAATGTTTTTCTAAGAGACTGGAAAAAAAAAAGTGACCCCTTTATAACATGAAGTCCTAAACCAGATCTTTTCCGGTCACGTTCTACACAAGCACTTACTGATCACGGGCTGGATCTTTTAAACTTGCTGTTGTTAGGGCTGCTAGAGAGTAACTGCATCCTTGCACAGGACGTATTTGCCAGACAGATGTTAAGCTAAAATCTCACCTCTGAGTTCCATCTACGACAGGCCAGCTCTATCTGTTCATATGCCTACACACTTAGAGAGTTCAGAAGCACATGGTAAAGTAGCCTCAGGGTAGGAAAGAACTATTTCTTCTGTGCCAGGGCTAGTCTCCTTTTTTTTTTTTAATCTAAAAAGCCCAATGCAAACTGGCATTGAAGCAGAAAGCATTAACAAACTGACACCAGCATATGCATTTCAACTGCGCTGACATCAAATTCTTAGTATCTCCTATCTGCACTTTTCCTTCCTCCACTGCCTAGATTTATCAAGGATTTGTCACTCCCTAAGCTCACTTTAGCATCAGGAGAGAACAAGAAATAATTCCAATCCAAGACAATTTCACCTCAGCACTTAATATGTCCAATTTATTGCTTAAGAAAAATATTCCCATCACTTCACTCTTTGCATTATGACACTGAACAGTGAGTCCAAGTCAACTGCTATTATTTTGCACTAAATACAAAATCCATTCTCTTCGCGTTTCTGTCTTGAAGCAATCTTCACTGACTTCCTTTACCAATTTTAAAATACCACTGTTTGCCTTCCAGGGAGTCTGTGTTCTCACCCTAGCCTTGCTTTGTAATTAACCTCCTGTCAAACATCAGGAATACTTGTGCACCTCCCTACTCTGCCTTGTGAATGAAATATTCAGGGCTCATGTTAAACCTCCCCTCCTTCCCCATTTGCACTTATTATATCCTCCCAGATTTTTGCTCTACAACATCTGTAGATGCTAACTACATATACTCATCTATTTATAAGGTACTGAAATTTCATAATACCCCTATGAAAGCAATTCTCTACAGAAATAAATTGCACTGTCATGGCAATGAAAGGATCAGACAAGAAAATTAGTCTTATTAAAAGTAAGTGTTGAGTAAGGTCCATTTGACTTCCTGTCATTCACCTTGCTACATACAGTGGGACTGCCTCCAAAACTTACCTACTTCTAACCCCAGTATTCCCTATTTCAATGCTGCTCTTTTAAATCTAAAAAAGGCCTTTTAAAAGACTATTATATCCACGCTACTATAAGTAAGGAGGAAGGTGGAAAAAACACTGCATATGAGCTATTTAATTACAAATTTCAGAGATAAAAGTATTCAAGCATAGTCAAGATGGTTGCTGTCAGGACAATTTTCCCTTTCTTTAAAAATATGAGGGTGGGGAAAAAGATGAAAAGCTGCTGTAAAGTTAAAGCCACTTACAAGCTTTGCAGCTTTGCCTCTTTTTAAAAACCATATATTACAATCTCTGCTCTATAAAACTGTCTAGTTGCCTCTTAAATCTCATTTATGTTGTTTCCTTTGATATCATTACTTGGTAACTCATTTTCCAGTACGTCAGCAAGTTGCTTTGTTTCTCCTTATTTTTCAACAGCATGAACACTTCTGAATGTCTTTGTAATAAGAAACAATATGCTTTTGTTCATCTTTTTCTAAACTTTTCTTAATTTTCAATAACATTCAAAGAATTTATTTCAAGTCCATTTTCAGGTTTCTCTACCCAACGTCATATCCCAGTAACATTCAGGACATTGCCCTCCCCAGGGAAAAGGTGACTAGAAGCAAACAGGACCATTCCCAGACCTTTTGGTACCAGGATTGTCAATTTCAGGGCAATTTAATATACATATTATTAAAGGGGTTTTTTGCCCTTAATAAGCACGTACTTGTGTATTCTATACATTTGTCACACAAACGTCACATGTTTGGACCGGGAGCTTTTACTCTGTGACTATGACTTCCTAAGAACCTTTCCCTTTATGGAGAATTCTATGAAAACCATTTGCATGCTAATAAAAATAATAGTAAAAAACAAGTCTGTTCTAACAGAGACACATTTATTGGGTGGGTATTCATACTTATTATAAGCATGTGTCCTACTGTCCAAGACAGTCTCAGTTCAGCAAAGCACTTCAGCATATATTTCACTAAGAAAAATGTCTTCTCCTAAGAGAGAGAGGAGAACCTAAAAGAACCCCAGCTGAGATCTACTGTTAATTATAATGTCATCTGATGAAGATACCAAAGAACTCAGAAAAGTCAAGGCACACAGTCACAACATATATGGAATTTTCTGTACAAGGAATAAATTTACTGCAAAGGCCAATTTCAATCCATTTTACATTCTCATCAGGTGTTTTATCTCCACGTATGTGATTTCACAAAAATGGAATTCATTACAAGTTTAGTTTTCTTACCTTCTTCAGTATCTGTGATCTGTTTACCACTGATAAATGTAGCTGCATGTACCCTTTCACCTACAGATATATTGTTGCTTTTAAGTGCTTTCACTGTTTGATTGACCTACAGGAAACCACAGAATGAAATGTCTGTATCAGTGTTGTTATGCACATGTTAATGCAGTGACAAAGCTCTTGTAATTTTGTTTCAAGCACATAAAACACTCAAGTTATTGACTGTGGTGGAATTTAATACACATTTATAATGACTAGCATATGAGCTCAAAAAACCCAAAGAAACTAACATGTCTTTGAACACGTTGCCTTGGCAACACAGCACCAGTTTTGCAGCACCCTAAGATGAGCTGAGTTGTGCAGATGCAACAGCCACGATTATACAGGTGAGAAATATACCTGCTCGGAGAACATAGAATGCCTGAGCTCAGCTGGACTGCAAAGGCAGTCCTGATGGAAATCAGAGATTAAGGACTTTACAGGACACTGCTATACTGGATCTAACAGAGAGAACTGGCAGAAGATATTTTCAACAACACAAACAGGTACCTGTTCAAATGTAAATATTCAGGTACTCGTTGCAAAATAGATGTCCCCATGCTTCATCATTGCAGGAAGCAGACCAGATTTTGTGCTTGCGTTGACTAACTTAAATGACAAGGCTTCCTTGTATCAGGTGATGCACACAATCTTTTTCTACGAAGTGGCATCATAGTAGGGGCACGTGTGTGTGTGTGTGTGTGTAAAACGAGATTCGCCTTCTTTATACCAAAGCACAGACCACATCAAGCTTAGCTATAACTCTAGTTTATTTTCTGCATACTGTACAGACCTCTTGAACAGCATGATTGGATCAGGATGGCAGCAACCATACTAGGACCATTCTGAGAGATTTTGCCAAAACTTCACAAGGAAACCCATTTGTAGGACGAAACCAAGGCATTTCTGTCCAGCTTTAAAGCATGGCAGAATTTAGAAGTTGCAAGAGTCAAAGCTCTCCTCTAGCCCATCTGTGAAGTAGATGAAGCAAAAGACAAGCCTCTCAACCTTACGAAAAGCCTACAGAACACAGCAATAAGCTGAACTTCAGCTTCTTCTTCTGCCTCCCCACCCTCCATCAATCCCTTTTATGCCAGCCCCATCAGAAAGAGAAAAGTAACGAACTTGTAATTTCTCTAATACCTCATCATGTTCCCAAGTGCAACAACTTTATTGTGATGTCTGTCCTTCTTGGATAGGACACGTACCTTGAACTGAGGCACACCACATGGCTCAAATGCAGATATGCACAAGCCAATAAGCATTTTCATTTTGAACACAGAGCAACTTTGAAAGCAAAAGAGAAACACAATACCTTTTTCTTTAACCATTTCAGTGTCTTCTCTTGGTTGTATTTGTGGAATTTCTGACTGCCAATCTCTGAGAAAAAACAAGGGGAAGAAAGTTATGACTGGTCTGGATTGCATTTTCATTACATTTAAAATCTTTTAAGTTGTAGATATAGCATGAAAGTTAATTTGTGGCTTGCACATGTTCGATATCAGGGCAATAAGTTTCAAAAACATTGGAAACATGGAAAAATAAACAGACTGAGCTGATATGCACAAGTCTGTACCACTTGACAATTCTTTAATTAGGCCCTAATCCAGCAAAGCACATATTTTCTTTATTTATGTGTAATCTTGGGCTGCCTGAATTCACTAAGACCCTTCTCAAGCCCTTATAGTTTGCCAAACCTTCACTGTCCTGCATCATCAGACTGGTCATTTTAACTGCATAGATAGCTAACAACACAAAATGTTAGTTCCACAACTGCTTTATTTTTCCCTTTTATATATATATATTTTTTAACAGATAATATCTTAAATCTTTACTTATTGAATTCCAGCACCTAGTATGGGGCCAGGACAGAGAGCTGGTTAGTGAAGACAAACCATCCACCCTTTCAATAAATCCTTTTCCTATTAGTTCTCTGCTCTCACTTCACAAGGTGACTAAAGCACAAGATTTACTTCTATCCCCCTTTTACATTGTTTAACACAGTGTCGAAAGAAAATACAGAATCCAAAGTAGCGGAACACACTCCTTGTGGGAGGAGGTACGTGATTCATTTATGATTTACTGAGCAACATAAATTAACTCAATGATATAAGAATTTCAGAAAGTGTTTCCCCTGTGATAACTCGGTATCATGAACACTTGCTGTTCACATGTGATCAGTTATCCAGAGATATATGAGTTCACAATGATGAGGCAAAGGAGAGAGAAAATTACGAAGGCTCATGGAAATTTCTGTATAAAAATTCAGTATTAATTCACAGAAAGCTACATTTTGGAAATGGAATGAAATGCCTAATAAGATTTCACAGAAAATTTTGGAGCCCACTGTGTTTCAGTCTTTTTCTTTAATACGTATTTCAGTAAGTCTGAATTCAGTAAATCTCCTGTATACCATTCCCATAAATACCTACATCTCTTTCATGCCATTTACTAATCCAGTATCATATTCCAACACTCAGTTCATGGAGTTTCCTTTTCCCTTGCAAACAACAACATATTATTTATGATTCCTTCAGCATTTCTTTCTTTGGGGTTTATCTTGGCTCTTTTAAATTACATACAAATAGCTAACTATTATGTGCTCTTTGTGTATACATGGTAGGGGGTATGGAGAGGTTGAGGAAAGTTGTTTACAAGATAAAGTTTACATTTATCTCAGTTGTAGAAGAGTAAAATGTAAAAATTCTTCAGAGCAAAAAGGAAAAAAACCACTAATATACACTTTGCTTCATGAAGTTGATGAGTTGCAGGTAAAGTAATTAGCTGTGACACTGCTGGCTGCAGCCTTTAGGACTTAGACGCTTCTAAATGGCTCTGAAAGAAAAGAGGCAGAAAATGGGGGAGATGCTCTGGATGCTTGAACCTGCTTCTCAAAAAGCTAACATGGTTTGGGTCCAAGTACAGTGAGTACGATTCGTGGATTCCTCTCTTATCTAAGAAAGTTCGAGGAAGGGACATCCTCTAGCCACCATCCCCCAGCCCATGCTGAAAAGTAATTGTGGTCCGGATTCCCAGGCAGACTCCCCCACAACAGCATGATTCAGAGTGACTCAGTTAGGGAAAGGAAACATAGAACTGTGAAGCCATTTTCATTAAAACATGTGAAAAATAATTACACTGAACCCTTCAGAGATCACTTTGTTTGAAAATATTTTGTGTGCTTGACAGCTTTGACTATTAAACTCTAGAAACTGACAGTATTTGAGACCTCTGAAGAATTAAAGTGAGTTATGGAAGTCACAAACTGCTGACAAAAGGATTCAATATTGGAACGTGGATTTAACATGTGATGCACACTTGATATTGGTGAGAGTTAGCGACTATGTTTGATAATATGAGTGTATATTGGAAAGCCTTTTGTTCCCTAATGTGTCTGGTGCCTATAAAACTGGTCTGAGACATCTGGAAAGATTGGGTTTGAGAAATACAGATGGAATATAAGTGGTTCTACAATTAAATAATATGTTCAGTGATCGGGTAATCGCTATGTAGACTTGGAAGTTTCCCTGATGTATTGTTGAGCAAACTGCCTAAAGCACATTTTAACATCCATTTTCTCAGTGTTTTCCATAACTCTGAAACTCATATGGCCCCTTTTTTCCTACCTTCTGGGAATACAAGCTTGGCAATATTACTTAGTTATTTTAATCAGGTAAGTTTTCTTGGCCCTTCATGTTAATCACATCAGACAAGATCACACTGCAGTTTTTGCTTTGCAAAATAAAACAGAGAGTAACACTCTAGAACCGGAATTCATAACCCTTTCTTAAACCTTCTTCATTGTACATTCTATCTGATGTTTGAATTTATTAGCAAACAACCTGCCTCACCCTCACAGATGAAGCAAACTGTAACACACCCTTTCCCCAACTACTAAAGCAGGTAACCGGGAATTTAATCCAGCAAAATGAATTTCCAGTGCCCTTCAACACTGAGGCCAGAGAAGGCAGACTTTCTGCTAATTCAGTAAGTGTAAACTGTGAGCACTCTAGGATAAGAATTTGTTAGACAGATGTTAAATGCCTTAAGATTAAATTAAGAGTGAAATAATTATGTTGTTAGGTTCTGCCAAACAGAGCTGCAGAAGACTCAACACAACAGATACTTCTTGCCCTAAAGCCCTACTCCTTAAACGAGAAAGGCTACAAAGTGGACGACAAGTCTCAGAGCTAGAAAAGAGTACCTTAGTCATAATATTGGTATTTTTTACAGGCAATAAAAGACATGAGAATATGAAACACATAGAACTGGATTGAACAGAACAGTGATCTGTGCATGACAGACAAGCAAGTGCCAACGTTTTTGTTCCGTAACTATATGCCTGGTGTTCTAAAGAAAAAAAATCAAAAAAATAAAAAAAATCCTAAGAACAAGCCCCAACTGTTACTTTCAACCCTACACAAACCTGAACAAGAAAAGAAGCAGCAGGTACATGCAGGTACATGTCTGGGGACATCCAAGAAGGGACATCCAAGAACATCACATACAGCTGGTGTGTGCATGTGTGTACAGCTTCAATGACAAAAGCAATTTTTACCTTACACTTCAAAACAAAAACCAGGAAGTGAATGCAACTTCTTTAGCAGTTAGTATCATTTGCTAGCAAAATGACACAAACTTATAGGTGTACATAACACATTATTAAAAACATCAATGTAAAAAAACAAGCACTAAAGCATCTTCACTACTGTCTAACAGAATAGTTTATCAGAGGATGGTCTGATGGATAACAACTGCAAATACAATTTCAGAATGGATACAGAGGTTAAAACAAAATATAAGACCTTGCCTATAGGAAATACTTTTTTTTTCTTTTTAAATTTTTATTTTGCTGTTAAGAGGGGAACATAAATACTGCCTAAAGGCAGCACTACTGTTTGGAGGAAGTGTCCCTTCAGAAAAAAAATCCAGACCTTGTCCTACATTCCTATACAGACTTCTTAGTTTGACAGCCAAGAGGATCTAGTACAGTTTTCACCTTCTCAGATGAGTGCACAGAAGTTTAGTACCCCTTCTCTCACCCTAGCTGCTTAGCCAGTGTTAGACAAGTGGTAGGGCACAGCAATTGCCTAAAAGTTTAGTAATAGTTTTTACCAGAAGTATTTACCACTTCATGGGAAGGGAAAAGCGGTGTTCTAGTTCAGATGCACCTGTCTTACAAGAACCCTTCTCAAAAGTCAGAACTCACCCAAAGAAAAATGTTGCCTGCTCCCAATGATACTGAATGTAACTAAATGTTTTCTGAAGGTTCTTTGGGAAATCAGGGAGTATCGCAACAGCACGTAATTCCAACTACCCCAGTCCTAGCAAGACTGTAACAACAACAGTCTTGCTGCCCGGATTTCATGCTCTCTTGTTAAAGTGACCATTTTCAATGGAAACGTTTCCTGCCCTGAAGTTTAAACTGTTTTTCTGGGGGAAGCAACTGCCCAATATTACTGCATATGCACCATGTCATACAGGAAATACTTCCACTTGTGCATCTAAACCTTTCAGGAAAAACTCACAGCCACCTCCTCTTGCCCCCCACTGATGTTCTATACAGCATTAAAGAGGTTTGGTGTTTTATTTCTTAGCATGGCTCTCATTCTTCCATCACCTTTCCTTAGCCATTTCCCAATTATTTGTAGATCACTCAAATATTTCTTCTTATATATATCAATGACATGGGCAGAGTGCTTCATGAAAGCAAATTCCTAATATTTCTGGCTTTTAATCTGTGTACCTCAACTCCCTGGAGGAGCTCTACATGCATAAGGGTCAGACAGCCTAGCTGTTTTGCACTTGGTGGTAGATTCCATGTACTCAGACTCCTGTACCTCCTCCTGTAGATCTCCACCTGGGTGTAGGTAAATCTCCAGTCGCTATCAGGAAGTCAGTATGCATGAGGAGAATGCTCTTTCAAGGACTGAATATAAAAACTGAGGTCTTCCATCTTTAGCAGGTCTGCCAAGCTGCAAAAATTATGTAATGCTCCTTCCTCTTCCCTAGAAAGCATATACTGTCCTCAAACAAAACTAAAGTCCCCATATCAAAGGGAATTCTGGGCAAAGGTTGAGGAAACGATGTACAGAATTGATACTCTGCTAATTTTTTCCATTTATGTTTTCTCTCTCATATTTACGTATCCCAATCAAGTTTTCTATTTCAAAAAAATTCAGTCTTTGAACTTAAACCCACAACACTAAATTATGCCAAGCTAGAAAACTTGTGCTCTTCTTTCTCAGCAGCATATTCTCTTTTCTCCAACTTTTTTGCTACTTATTATTTGAATGCTTTGCAACAAAGGGAGGAAAAAAAGCCAAATGGACAATGGTTAACTTCTTCCACACCAGACCATCCTACATTAAATAAAGAATTTAGAGAGATGTAAAACTTTCATCAAAAGGTAAAGAAAGTTCACAACACATACAATAATGTCAAGAAGCCAGCTCTGATCAGTTTATCATTTTTATGACACCTAGCAACAAGACTGCACAAGTATTTTAGAGTCACAGCAGATAATCTGAGATCCGCACATTGCTATTCACAATACTGCAATGACGACTTCTATGCCTAAGCTTCTGTTTTTAAACTACAGCTACGTCCAGCATCTTGGGTGTTTGGTAAAGCAAAAAACAGTATTTAAATCTATCTCGTTATGAAGTGACACTAACAAATCCAGTCCTTTTTTTGCCCCCAGCCCCTTTTTTTTCACCTTTTTCTTCTGTTACATGATGTATGTACTGTTTAACATCTGTACAGTTCAGCAGCAATGCGCAGTTAGGGTACTCCGAGTCTAGCACAACTTGACTGAGTGGCTGGAACTTTCCTTGCTGCTGAAAATACATCAAAGGGATTATAAAAGCATTATTATAATATTAAGACACATATACACGCTACATACACATCTATAGAAATATATATGCATGCAATGGCCATAGCTTTAAAATAAAGGATTTAAAGAAGGTAGTATTTTGAATGGTAACACATGACACATTTTGAAACTGATTACAAAGCAAGCTATAAATATTTATTTCAAACCAGTAAATACCTGCAAAATGCTGAACTCTTCAATTACTGCACTTAAAAGACCAAATTTAAAGCAACATGAGAAGAAACTAATGCGAAGTACAGCAGGATTTTTTGGAAGATCACATAAGACACAGTAGTCTGTGTGTGCCAACAGTGTTTTAGACCAAAACTGTTGGATTAAACCCAGTGTCATAACTTCCATTCAAATTTTGCTTTTCCTTCCATAAAGATAAATCTCAAAGGAGCAGGGCAGCTTCTGGAACATAGCATTAACCTTTCACCTCTGCAAAGTCAATTCCAGTTTGGCCAGAGTATGTATATAAAGTGATCTTGGCACAACTTAAATAGCCCCACACGTGACAGAACCATCAAACAAATTTTGCTTTTGCCAGACAATGCATAATCATTCAGCATGGTTTGGCACAACTGGCAACCTTCCCTTTGGAAAGATCCTTCAGTGCATCAGTACAGACTCAGTGAGCTCTCCATCCTTAGAGAGTACATGGTCTCAGGAGCCAAAGCTGAAGTCATTATACTGGTCAGCATGAAAAAATCCACTTGGGTATACTAGTTTCATTATTAATTAATCCTTTTGCTAGACAGACAGAGGCTTAATAAAAGTAACCATCTATTGTTAAATCACAATAAAAATAAGGCGGGGGGGGGGGAATCAGAAAGGATTTAAAGTTTTTTTCTGCTGAAAAAGAAAAGGCACAATAACAACGGCAAAAAGAAGGTCACGAGACACAGAAATAAAGTAGCAATAAACTGTTTTCTATAGATAACTTCCCTGCACAAACCTGTTTGTCGCCCAAAGCAAGGCAGCCACATTTACATTGTGCAGGGGCACAGAGCCTAAGTCAGGAAAGCCTGCTGGATAGGCGAAGGCTCTGCTCAGAGGACACATTAAGCAACCCCGCATCACACTATCAAACCAAAGGATGGTGCAAAGGATGATCATAAGATACCCGGTGGTACCTTGATACCCATTAGTTCAAGCCAGAAGTTACTGTGCTGCACTCAAGCTAGCCTTGCACAAGGTATCTGCAACACAATCCTCAAGACTTCCCTTTACTGAAGAATATGCTAACTTAGGCAGGGCACTGCAGGAATCCATTTGCCCTGATTTAGGACCCAGAACAGCTCTATGCATTTATCTGGCATCATGCCTGGCCTAGAAAATCAGAAAACGCAAAGGGCAGTACGGGACTCTTCCCATGCACAGAAACAACAGCAGTAGTTGTCCTCTACTCAGGCTACCTCAACACTCTACCACATAGACAGAGGAGATTTACTATTTGCCTAGTTTAAGTTTGGTATAAAGCTTTCAAAGGGATGCTGAATTCAAACGGCACAGTGCGTAGAGAATGAGCTAAACTATTCCTTGTGAAATTACTTCTTCTGATGGGCCATCCTGAAGCAGGAACAGACCACAGAAATACAGAATACATTTGCACATCCCATATCATAAATACTTTAAAAATAAATTACAGAACAATAGGTTACTACTACAAATGTGTAGTAGGACTTGATTTCTTCACTGTACAAAAATTGTTCTCCTGCATTCTCCCCTTGCAATCTAAAGCAGAAAATAGCAAGCAACCTTATAGGAAACACTCTTTGAGCAAAAACTCTTAGGATGCATAAAGTGAAATTATTGCCTCCTTGAAACAAAAAACAAGGATCAACATTTGCATTTTATTTTATGTCCTTTTTTCCACAGGCAGATTATAAACAATAAATCAGTAACTTTGCCTATGCTTTTTGATACACTTCAGAAATCCAAGTGAGGTTTTGTCACACTCATGATAAGTCAATTAAGCTATTTATTATGAACCATATGAATCACAGAATGGTTTGGTTGGAAGCGACCTTAAAGACCATCTCGTTCCAACACCCCTGCCATGGGAAGGGACACCTTCCACCAGACCAGGGTGCTCAAAGCCCCATCCAGCCTGGCCTTGAACACTTCCAGGGATGGGGCATCCACAACTTCTCTAGGCAACCTGTGCCACAGCCTCACCACCCTCACCGGGAAGATTAATTATTCAACTTTTGGATACTTGATCAGCCCACTGCTGTTCTGTGATACAGCATCTCTACAAATACTGCTTCTAAAAAGGCAATGTTTGCTTTCAAGTTCAAATTGCCACAGAAATGTTCCTTCTTCCTCCCCCACAGCATCCAAATTCTTACTTCTTTTTCCCTTCTTTCCCAAAATGACTCATCTACTGAACCCTCAGAAAGGGCACTAGTTTGTTCTACTCTGATGACATCTCATCATTTTAAATTCAATAGTTCTGGGATAGGCTCTCACAAAAGGACAAAAGAGATTCTCTCCTTTTCTTAAAAAGAATGTGATTAGAGTTTGTTGCGATTGCAAGCTGACTCATGGAATATACTTTACTGACCAAAAATCTTGATGCAAACAAAAATACTTTTAGGGTGGATATTTTTGCTTTAAATGCAAATTAAATTTCCATTATTATGGAAGGCCCTCTTTGTAAAATTAACATAACTTCTCCAGAAAATGAAGTCGGAAATAATGTTTTCTCCTGAGAATTACAGTGAAAAAATAAAGCAGGCTTACCTCCTTGTCTGCCTTTATAAGGTAGTAAAGTATCAGAAATAAGGGGTCCATTGGTGTAACAAACAGCAGACGCCCATCTAAGTGACAAATACGTAAAAGTAAGCTTAGTACCAAGAGGCACACTATATTGATTTTTTTTTTTTTTAAGAATGTTTTTCAGGAGTGCAGGCAAGAAGAGGAGAATTTTTTTTTTTTCAGTAAGTAACCCAATGTTTTAATAAAATGAGCAGGAAAATAGTATCTGTGATCTTATATTAAAAATACAGACAGAACTCAATTCTCAACCCTGCCAAACCAAAGCACAAACTCTGCTGGCTTCAAGCACTCTTAGTTTTGCCTTTTTCTGGACTATATTAAAAACAGCAAAATTGAAGCTGCCCTCTATTGGCAGATTTGGGTGCAACAGAAACTTGTTTTGGGATACCAGATATATCCAGTACACTCCACCTCAAACACTGGACGAGGCAACACTGTGCTGGCAGAACAGGTAGGCAGGGCAAGAATTTCAAGAGCTAGTTAAGTTAGAGCTGCCTCTCATCTGTAAGGGGAGAATCTGCGTGCAGTCTCCTAATAGAATAAAATAAACTGAAATAGATCAGAAAATATGGCTCAGTATGTTGATTCCAAAGTTACAAACAAAGGAGGAAAGTGGTCTCCCATTGAAATAGACACCTCTGCCCACCTGGAGCTCATTGCAGGACAATGGCTTAGTCAGGCTTTTTGTATAATTGTAGATAATTGGAAACAATGTAATATCAAGGAAATTCACTAATAAGACCCAATAATTGATGACAATTTGACATTAATTAGCAAACCAAAAGCAAATAAATGTAATTTTTTTTTGTTTTAAATCACATGATTAAGATAAAGAAAGAAAAGGAAATCCTATTGCAATGACCCTAAAACTAACAAAAGATGGGCTGCGAAGAACATGGTTTTGTCAAAACTGATACTCAATCTAACATCTGTATTACTAATATGATGCATTGTGTGAGGCAAAGCAAGCATCAGGACTACTTACAAACCTGAAAGCTTTGATAATAAAACTGGAGGAAAAAAAACCCACTAGCCACTTTCTGAAAGCTCCCATTTCAATGCTTTCCACTACACTGCCAGGAAAAGGTATTTTTATTTGCTCTAAAGAGTTCAGACTCACTACAGGTGTATAAAGGCCTCTGCCCTTCTCCGCATATAATATGATAATTTGCTTTAACTGCAAACCCACAGCTTTTTTGTGTTGCTCTTCCTCTGACTGTTTCAGAGATGCAGCAACCCTAACATTCAGGAACAATTTTTACCCCTGCATCTTTTAAAGAAAACTGAAGCAATGATTCCTTAAGGCAACTGTTTCCCAAGGGCCAAAATAGATGTTAGAAAGGGAGGGGGAAAATACAATGTGGACATAATTGGGAGCAGGGAGCAGACCCAGTCTTTTGGCTCACCCCCAGATGGAGTAAGGAAAAGCTCACAGACATACTGCTTGCATTGCTACATGCACCTGCAGAGGATGTTTAAAAGTTAACACATGCTTTGGGATATTACCATTAAAGAAGGCATATGTCTGGTGGCGTTGCTTTTATTTGTTACTATAAATGGTCTTTTTTCTAGTTAAAAAGGACAAAATAAATATACTTTCATCTCCCAAATGAATACTTATTGCTTGGTCTACACACATGCTGGCAGAGAAACACTACTGCAATGACACCTTTACTGATAAAGGATTGTTACAGCTGTCACAAGCAGCTACCTAAGTTTCCTCCTTATTTTCAGAAAGGCGAGCTAGGATCAGAGAATGACTGGGATGGTATAGACGAGCTCACTTCAGACAAAATACTGAAACGTCACCTTCAGAGAGCAGGCCTATTCCGAGATCCCACCATTCACACAGGGGACTACAGAGGTAATTAAAAGAAAGCAAGACCATACATTCCAACGCTTGGAGCTGTAACACATCACTCTGCTTAGCTAGCTGAGGCTTTCCAGCCCTTTTCCTTCCCGTAGGATATCATGTATTTTACTTACACTGAGGACTTGCTGGTCTGATTGACAAGGCAAGCTAAGTATTTTAGTTTAAATACAACTGAATGACTTCCCCCTCCCGCTCCCTTCCTCAAAGACAAATGAACATCTGTCTAATTGAGGCTGCCAAAGGCAGCCTTTTAAAGAGAGACCACAAAGCTCCCAGCCCTGGTTAAATCCAGATGGCAAATGAGTGTGTCAGAAGGTGGGGATGTGATGCAGCATGCCTCAACCAACTAGGAAAAACACCTGTAAATTTACTAGAAGAGAGAGGGAAGGTCTGCGTATGAACATGAGTTACAGTTGGGGGAAGGATACGTTATTTTACTCACCTTGTTGAACAGTCTGACCTATAAACCAGGAACGATATTCCTCATGAAAAACTTTTACTTCAAACAGCTGCTGTGCACCGCTATTGAATAAGTAAAGGGTTGCTTCCCCTGTTAAAAAGAAATCTGGTTTGTGTTTATAAGCTTTCACAAAAATCAAAAGAATATCCAATACATCTGAAGAATGCCTTATATACATACAGACATACAAACATACACACATTCTACATAAACTCACTACAAAGACAGCTCAGACAAAGAAAACTATTATATACAGATGTTAATTTACCAGCTTTATAAACCAAACTGAGTTTGAATCAATAAGAAAGATGTGTGAATAGTTCGTCTCGCAACACAAAGCCTTTGATCCAAATCCAAATCAAAATCACTCAAGGAATCAGCTTTTGTCTGTACCGAAGGGGGAAGGCAGAAAACAAGAAAATTCTCTCTCCTTCCATCATGTTTGTCTCCAATATCAGACTCTGGGTTAGGGGAACAAAAGTCTCAAACCTTCAAGTGACAATTTGAGATTTTTTTTTTTTTTTGTGTGTACCAAAATGGATTGCCGACGACTTGGTATGGGTAGACAAATAAGGTGAACAAGGAAGCTAAAAGAAGTTGCTTCAAAGCACCCATCAGAATCTTCATCGTTTGGAAAGGAAAAGGAAAGCTTTATTTTAGGCCACCCTATAGCACAGCTCTGCCATTTCACAATCAGTTCTGGGTTATAATGAAAGGATGATGAATAAGCTGCAAACAGGATTGGCATTTTCCATATCTAAAACAGGAAGCTGCCAGAAATACAGAAGGGGTCACTGAAATTTGGTCAGCTGAGTCTGTTGGCTGGATTGGTCCTGTCTTGGTTATCAATCCATCTTCAAGAGACAAGAGCAACTATAACATGGCAGTCCTGCTCAAAACACACAAATTGCAAAGCTGCACTGACTTGCAGATCATGGGCTGGCTCAAAAAAGTCTCAATGTAAGCCCCTGCAAGCTGACATCAGCACTGCTGTTCTCAGTCTGCAGAGATCCCTAGGTGTAGAGGGAGGTCAGCTAAAATGGGCAGACACATCTCTTCCCAAAAATGACTAATAATGCAGTTTTCCCCCTTTATCCAAAAAGCTGACCAGATATTTAACCTAACCTAAAGATACAGTTTCAGTTCTCTGATAATTTTTTTTTTTTTTCGGGGGGGGGGGGGGAAGTAGATACAAGAGGGAGCAGAGGTTTCAATCATTACCCTGTGCTTCTCAACAAGGGTCTACACCTTAGTTTGACCAGCGCCTGACGTCAAACTACTCACAGAAGTGCTCACTGAACAATTTAAGGTTCCTACCAGCGAGCATGCTAGCCAAATGCAGTGGTGAGCTACGAAATCTTGGGAAAGAGATCATTCCTATTGCCTAACTCCAGCTCCTTAATTTATTTGCTTATGTTAAAAGGACAGTCACCACAGGTTCCCAACAGTGTCGTTAGACAGAAACTCTAGGGGATGGAGAGAGAACCTAGGTAGCTTTGCTCACAACTTCACCACTTCAGTTAGTTGCTTAACTCTTGTGGTATGGTTATTTCCCTTCTTTTAGTTCAGCACTTTGAAAAATGCTTCTTGTGGTACTCCTGAATTGCAGGCTGAACCCTAGTTTATAGTCTTTGTAAGGGATAGAAATTTTGTCCTTTTTACCCGTCTATAAAAAGGACCATGCATACTTTTATTTAATAAAGTGGTTAGTATGAATTCTATAGTGTGCCGAGTCCTTCAGTGCATATTTATACAATATCTGGCATCAAAAATTCATCTGTTAGACCCAAAGGTAAGGAAAATACATTAATCGGGTGTTCTCAGACCTTCCATTTTCAGACCCTATACTTATAATAGGCTACATAACTGAAAATTTATGCAGGTCTATAAATAATCTCCTGTAAATTCTAAAGGAACACACCCAGGCAATCATTGTACTTTAGGTTTTCCCCAGAAACCTTTCCCAAGATCTCTCATTCTACAAGGTAAACGGATCTCTTCTTCCACAGAGAAAAGCAAAGTAGTATCTATGCTTTTAAAAAAATATCATATTAGAAAGCCAATATAATACAGCAGGTGGAAAATATCCATGGCTATATATTCCCACCGTAAATCTCAGTAATCAAAAAACAGGTATCATGAGTATGTGATTTCACATTCTGATTCTATTGTTCTTAATTATTTTCCTCTTTCAAGAACAAGTAGCAGTTACTATATTATGACATTAAAATGCACTGAAGACTTTAGTTACAAACATATATAAACACGATCAGTTAATTTCAAAACAAAAACATACAACTGAAATCTACAGAAAACAAACGAGCTTATGAAAAGAAAAAAAACCAGCATGAAATGTGTTTTTCAAACAAAATATGTCAACCCTAATAAAGGCTTACTGCAAGTTTCTGTTGCAGTATATCTCATACTCCGATTATTATATTATTCACATAATAGTAACAAATCCTTGATAAAAAGAACAATCGGACTAGAAGAACGTAGCTGTGGAATGGTGGTGTCATTATATTGCCCGCATTTGCTGGTCTTCCCAAGGTACTTTGAAGTTGAAGTGCCTCATCATCTATTAATGAGAAAACAGGCACCACCACTTGGACCAAAGAAAGAAGAAAATCAGATTTAAAAATGAAAAGACTCAAAAAGTTTGGTAAGTATAACTGAATCGCTTCTTCTAACTCTATTTATTTTATAGCATAAGATGAATGCTATGAAGCCTAAATTTGGATTAAAAAAAAGCCCAGGCTCAACACCCAACACTGTAAGCTCCCCAAAACGAATGCACTTAAAAACAGAACTTAAATTACACCTCTTTTTTGTGCTGCCAATATTCCTGATGAATAAACAGTTCAACCAATTAAAATTATAAAAGAAATCCTAAATGTTTGCACAGCATTAACTATCTGGCATTGCCAGCAGTATCTTTGGCACGTAAGACTTATACTATCATCATTATTGCAGCTTGCAAAATATGAATCTTTTGGTGGTGGAGGGAATCAACCAGAACATTAACAGGCTCATGTCACAATTCCAAAACTTGCCTGTGCTTGGATTGCGCAGTTTTGTAAACAAAGGTTCGCTGTCAGGTGTCTTAGGGGGGTCAGTAGCAGCCTCTGTAGGGGGAGAGGAAAAAGTTATGAACTTGTAAATTGAGAAGTATTTCACGTTCTGCCACGCTTCTCCAACATTCAGAATTAATTGGACTGACGCTTTTTGAAAACTCATGTATTTTCTGCCTAAAAGTTATATGCCTCAGACCAAATTCATCCTACCTGATCAAGGCATCCAAATTATGATTCCAGACTTCCTGGCACTCTCTATCTGCCACAGGAAAGATATGCACCTGGGGATGATTTAGATTTTTCAGGCAAGAGAGCTCCCAAGTTTGACATCTCAGTTCAGTGAGATGAACTGATATGTTGGCCTGATTAGTCACAAAGACAATGGGAATGCTTTCGTAAGTTAGGCTAAGCACAGTGTGGACATAAAGAAGTTAAAAGTGCAAAAGGTAGAATATTTGTGGGAAGAAACAGTGGTCCTCTAAAGCTTTCAGGTAGGAATTGTCTGAGTGGTTGTTACTTCTGTGAAAAATAGGCACACTTATTTATCTGTTACATATAATCTTGAAAAATAAAGAGTGATCTTAATTCCCCTCACAGGAAAAAGAACTTGAGAGAATACAGCACCTCTGGCTAAAGTGTCTGATAGTTGTTCTCTTTTCTGTGTCTTTAAGCAAAAAAGGACAAAAAGCAGAGCCACAAAAGTATGATTTCTCTGTGAAATTAAAAAAAAAAAATTAGAAAGGAAACAGCTCCCACAAGGATGCTGATTCAAGTCTGAAAAAACATTTATAAGGGTCCCCAGTTAATTATATTCTATCCAAGTTCTCTTTGTAGGCAAAGTCTAACTTGTATTTATGAAAACAACTTCCCATATCTGACTGAAGAGCAACAAAACAGCATCATCTTTCTTAGCCTGCACACTGCCAGTTCTGTCCCAATTCCTTTCATATAGGCATTCATCAGAGCAAGGAAAATTACTAAAGCATTTCACATACATAACCAGCATCCAGACCCCAGAGAAAGGACTGACAGGGATCAGGCTGACGTTCGTGTTATGGTGCTGCTGAGGAAACCAGAGAGGAGCAGCAGAAGCGGCTGCACAGCTAGTCACAAGGGAGGCTGTTGGAGGGAACAGAAGTGCCACATCATCCTTGCCCTTTCAGTTGCATTCAGCAGGCTTGCGGAGAGGGAGATAGCACAGTTCTTTTCTATGGAAAACAGGGAAGTAGGAACCTCAAGTAGAACTAAAAATAGCCGTCCTCCACTCTGGTTGAAAGCCTATCCCCAACATATCTGGAAAGGATGGGTGGACTTCTCGCAGGCTGTTCACTGGCACCTCGGTGGCAAAAAAAAGCCCCAAATAACCCTCATCTTTCACATCTACTCCTTGTTATTCAGTTGTGTCACGAACAGAAATTGCCTAGATAGAGACATAAGCACGGCTTAAAAAACAAGTGCATTTTGTGATAAAGTGTTGGAGGGTAATAGTTCTCAGAGCAGTTCAGAGAATTTACAGTAATTTTCTTCCTCTGAATTTTTAGTTGAGTCTTCAGGTGGCTCGAAAAAAGTGCTTAAAAAAATTTCAATATAAGTTGAGGGGTTTTAATGGAAAAAGCACCTATTGGCTAACCAGACTTGCTTCATATGCCGATACATAAACACAACCAGTTGTCAAGCAAAGGTGAACTTCAAATTTCTAGAGCTGTGTATATTTCAATTCTTGACCACAGTTTAACATTAGTGTATTTTTTGTTACTTTTTAAAACACTACAGTGATTAATGACAGTGAAAGAAACACACTGCATGTGTTTACTTTGATGTGTTTCACATGAACATGTTAAAATATACACACTAAATCTGATTTTCAAAATTTAAAACAAAAAGCAAAACAAAAAAAACCCCAAAGGAACTTCTAGTGCTCACTTGCTCCACTTTCTTCATGCATAGATTTATGAACACTGGGAATGAGTCCATCTTGTATAATGTAAACAATTAAGCAGACAATCCTTCCTAATGTAGCTCTTTTTAATGAAGTTCACATCTTTATTTAGTCGCTATGTTCTTTTCCTAACCTTCTAGTAACACACTGAATTTATCCATCTCCGCCAAGCCTGGGAGACACCTGCCCGTAGGGAGCACTCAGTGTAACAAACCCAAGGGATACAGTGTCCCATCTCTACTTCATCAATCCTCTGCCTTCCCAACCCAGATCACTGCGCTCCATCACTAAGGCCTGCCAGGTGCTACGCCAGGCTTGGCAGCCTCTGCTCACCCCCTTTGAATACGCAGCCTGGCCCTCCAGCTGCCTTGGCTCAGTCAGTACCACCTCCCCATGTGAAGAGAAGCACAGCTCTGCCCATTTAGTTCTCTGGTCTTCCTCAAGCTTGGCGGGGTTCACCACTGCACAGAGGGCAGCAGCGATCATACCCTAATGAACTGCCTGACTTGCAGCCTTCAGTTCCAGTATCTCGTGCTGATGGGATCAGAGCAGACGTCACATTCTCCACACAGCTGCCACAGAAGATGGTTTACCAGAAGGGACACGCACGTGCGCACACACGCAAGAAAACGGGAAGGAGTGGGAAAAGGTAAAAGTGGTTTCTCTGAGTTTCTTTTACCTTCATTTTCCCCAAAATGTAGGCAATACCCACTCCATTTCCAGGAGCATCTGAAGTATACTTTGGTTACAGATTGGCTCTACTAGATGTCAAATTGGCAGACAAAAAGAGGCAATTGGGAGAATGCCTGCATGGAAAACTGGATGCAATATTAATGTGGCTTTAAGGGCAAAGAAGGCCCTATTTATCTGAATTTAAACACTTCATGACTAGGAAAATGCTGAGCAAGGGACTTTCGAAGTTAGGTGTCCAAACCTAACTGGTGTATGTTCTGGCCTTTAGCCAGGAAAGGTACCTGGATTTCTTTCATGTCATTACCTTTATCAGTCCTTGTATTTGGGCCAGGATCTCTTATAGCTAAATAAATATAGACTTCTTAAAAAGCAGTACTGCAGCAATTTTCTAGCAAAACTAAGAGTTAAACTAGGTTTGGGTTTTTTTTAGTTTTAAGATTCACATCCAGGTAAGAATTAATCTTCAGAAAATAAGCAGACAAAAGTGACATTACAGGAAGAGCTTTTTTGTTAAATCCTAAAGGAAAGCATCAGATGATTGAAACTATGCTTAATACAACAGTTTCCATTGCTCAGCCCAAAAAACTTGTTCATCTACAAGAATAACAAGTGAGAGAGGTAAGACCTTTCTGACTGAATATTACACTCTCTACCGACTGTCTTGCAGTTGTAAGCTGCAGCTAACAGAGAAGAAGTACAGGTCAGTTTAGTACCAGATGTGCCAGTTCAGCATGCTATTCTCCTACAACCACATTCACTACAAGGATACAAAAAACTGGTACAGAGGGGCTCAATTAATCCTGTCTCAAAGAGGCATCTCAATTAGCAAGCCACTCTAAATTGCCAGGGAAGACAGGAAGACAGGAAAGATGACAGGCACTTCCAGGAGGCAGGTGAACCCACCTAAAGCTTAAACCCACCTGTATCATCCCCTGCAAGTATATGCCCCTGTCCTCATTGAGCTTACAGATACCTCCAGTAACGCAGAATGAATCCAGATGCAGTACCGCTACAGCTATACCAGAGAAGGGAATTCTGAGGTAAGCACAAGGCAGGACAATTAAACGCCAAGTGGGCTGATAAGTATGTCTACTTTGCTTGAGTTACAATAAACTCTTCGTTTACTATTAACCAAATCACATAAAGTCCATCTGAAAATGTGGGTGATATATCCATTAGTTGTACTGGAGTCTACAGAGAACCTCAGAATCCTGAAGCTGAGCGAAAGAGACTATAAAAACTTAGACAAAGCTTTCCATTACAGAAAAGGAGAAAAGCCTATCACATTTCATGGAGGTCAGACATACAACCAGGCAAATTCTATAAAATATATAAACAGAGCAAAGTGAAAATGAACCAGCTGTCAAAGGATTTCTGGCAGTAATTTCTTCCACAATGGATAGATATGAGGCACTAATGAATCTGGCCATTAAAAAAAAAGTGTTAGCTGGTACAGCAACGTGAATAAATTGGAAAAGAACCTAAAACTCCCACTAAGATCTATGAAACTTATGGATGATGCAAGGTCTATTCACCTTTTTTTAAAAAAAATTTCTTATAGAATACTATATATAACAGACTAATATCAAGTTATATGGAATTCCCATGCAAAAAGCTGCCAGCCAAGCAAGCAAAAAGGCTGTAAATATCTGTCAATTGCGTAAGAGGAAAAAACCCTCTGAGAGCACAAATTTCCCTACCACCATCACCCTGCAAAAAAACAGGATTATTTAAAAGTCTGGAAATATAAAGTTAAGATTTCATTTAAAAACAGATATTAAACCATACGTCACCTACACAAGTCTTTTCCATTCCCTTCTTAACTTCTAACCATGCACAAAAGGTGTGTCAGATGGAGACATTATGATGGAGCCCATTAAACAGACATTTTACGCAAGACTTTAAACTATGTAGCCTAAGGATACAGATATGTTAGGTCTAATAATAATTTTCTTTATGTTCTTTTTAGAATCCGTCAACCTTGAAGTAAACGGTTTTAATTCAGTGCCTGTGTCCTCTGTCCTGCAGCATGCCCCAAAAACAACCCACTGAAAATTAATCAATAAATCCAGTGCTTTGTATCATCCAAACTTTTGACAACTTTTTAAAGTTACAAGGTAATTAACTATTAGCATAATGAATGAATTCAGGTATGCACAGACTGAAGATACAGTTTCATGAATGGTTTCAAACGACCAAAGATCACAGGCCACTGAAAAGTGTGGTCCTGAGGTCCTCACCTCTGCTCCCTCCCTGCTGCACATCTCTGCTGCTTTCTTTCCATCAAAACTAGCAATCTCATGGCCACACAACAAATTGGCTCAGTTCGCTGATCCAGCTAGGAAATAACCAGTCACAAAAAAAGAAGTATTCTTTTCACCCAGATCAGTAAGCTATTTTCACTCACTATATGCTTTTATGATCACCGGAATGAAGGGACAGAACCCATGGCAAGAGCAGATGGCATAGACTATAACCTACTCTATATGTGACACTGGGGACTTTGACCAGTGTCAGCTAATTAGAAAACTAGATCGTATGTGACTTCACAGAGGTGGGAAGGCGAGAGATGAGCCACAAGACTACATTGCTGCTTCTTTGGCTTGCAATTCTCTCAGGGGAGTACTAAACGGCACACAGCTCCATTTACCTCAATTTACCCTGCCTCTTTTGCAGGTGCTTACATATAAGGAATGGCTTTGCACTTGCACACATTTGATTTTTTGAAATATCTTCTTAGTTGTTACACAGTTATGTTAACGATGTTACCTCACCACCTTACCCTTTTCTTGACCATACATAGTACTAGCTTCAGTGAGGGGACTTTTGCCATGTCTGTTGTAAAAGACAGAATGGTTCTCAGTTTGGTAATCGCAGCATTTCTTATTTGGTGCCCTAAGGAAATAATGTTTAATGTGACATAATTTACACCCTTTAAAGTTTTTCTGGCTCCCACTTCACCTGAAAATCCTATGATAAAACACAATGATATCTAAAAATGACACTGTTTTCTATCTTGAGCAAAACTTCACACGGAAAGGCTACTAGACGGTTTGAGAGGTCTTTTTCTCCAGTACACAGCTATGCAATACAGCCAAATACTAAGACTGCTGCCTGAGAGCATCTTTTGGCTTGCCCTTATGCTAGCACAGTTAACTTCTTAGGCCAAAAAAACATGTTCATGGACTCACTGGCGGCAATGGACAGTACTAATTCATCCGTTACTGAAATCTAAATGCTACGCAGAACATGCAGGAGTTTGAGCTAAATGACGGAGGTCAATCTTGAGAAGTTCAAGAACAGGTTATCACTTGAAAGGATAAAAACTTCAGACTTCCCTTCTCAATATTTATAGGGTCAGCACTGGTACAGCTGTATTACTGGCTGAATCAGCCCTATTCCCATGTGCAGAGAGGCCTAAGTTGGCATAAGTTGGTCTCTTCCGAGCCAGATGGCAGAAAGCAGAAGTAGGAGATGGTGTTACACATTAAAACATCTCTTTTCAGTTATTTTATTTGCTATGCTTCCTTCTGGCTCCTTAGCTTGCCAGTTATATCTGCTTTATACACAGCTGAGCTCAGTATGCCTTTTAAGAGATGACATGTAAGAAATGGTGAAAATTACCTGCAGGCAAAAGGCTTTGTTCTGGAGATGCAAATGCCGGTTTAGGGGGACGTTAAGTAAAATATGCCCACAGAGTGTAAACTTCTGAAATAAGCGTATTCACATCCACCTTATCAAAAAAAAGTATATAAATGTGCACTTATTATATAAAATCTTTTTAATGCTTTAAGTCAGCTGTTAAAAACATACATATTTGGTTATTGTAAACATTATTTCCAAGTTCTTTATCTAAATTATGCTGGAAGCATTAGTGTTCAAGTACCCTGCTCAATTTTGACATTCATTACAACTTCTGAATCAAGCTCCCTAACAGCCCAGCAGTGTGGTCTATTTTGTAGCAGATAAATTTAACTGTTTTTTTAATGCTAAATAAAAGCATGTATCAAAGCGTTAAGTGCAAGGTGCAAGGATGTAAAAAAAGAAAAAAAAAAAACAAAACCCCATCTACTTCAGATTTTAAAGCAAACTACTTTTATGCATTAAGTATTCCACAGCTTCTTTTGCTATGACATCTTCTCTCAATACGACCCAAAATTTTCAAGTCAAATGCTTCCTCTGTTGTTGCACAGAGACAAAAGTTCCTTAGTCTCATTTGAAAGAACGAAGAATTAATTTTAATGTGTGCTGATGCCCTATGGTTTGGCATCACAGTCCATTTACTTCTGCCTCCATCTGACTTTTGGCATATGCAAGATTTGTTCAAACAACTTGCCAAGTCTAATGTGAAACCGCTCCTTTTATTTTTAAATAAGTAATTCCTAAAAATAATAGGATTGTTAAATTTCCCTTCCCCCTTGCAATCCTTCCAGTGCTATTCATATGGCAGTTCCCATAAAAAAATTAAAAAGCTAATCAATTTACTGTTTAAGAAAACAGCAGACTGAAAAAACGTAGTCAACTAAACTTGTCTAGTTCAGAAAAATAAAGGTTGAAAATAATTTTCAGCTTGCAGCTCACCCCTACTTCTTCTCCTAATACACACAAACACAGAACAAATTAAATACAGCAGTCTTTAACTTTAGGTGTGGAGTAGAACACCAGACTCAGAAAACTGCCTTCAACTCCTGACCTCTTTGCTAAAACCAGTGAAGGATATAAGTAGTTCCAGTTCTGACATAACACCTATCCCTGAGAAAGTGTACTGAAAAGACACCGCCCTTCACACCCATCCTGTTAAGCAGCCAGTGTGATTTCGGTTGCTATTGGTAAGACCAGTTTTTAGCCATTACGTAAGAACGGTTATTTGTTATGCAGAGCCCAGATTAGATCTGTGTCACACATAGTGACTTTATTTCTCTGTCTAGAAAAAAAATTCTAGTTCTTACGATTTTCAGACAAAACATTAAAAATGGCAGTTGCATGGGCTCAACTCACAAAGCAAGCAGAAATTTCCTATATGGACATAAAAAAATAATCTAATTGGTCCAGGTAGTAGGACTTGAAAAAAAAAATACGTACACGAATACTCAGTAAACACAGACAGCATCACCACTACTAAAGCACATCATTAGCAACCTTCTAGCTGTGAGATGGCCAGGTTTTAACCCTCAGGAGCTACTTTGTTTCCCTTGTTCAGTAGCTAAACTAATACAACAGGAAGCCTGAAGAGGAAGCTCTACATTCTCAAAGGTAAAGGGGGGCTCAGATACACTGATAATATAACATCTCTGACTATCCAACTATTATGAGAAATGCAGAAAAGCACAATCTGAAAACTGTGTCGCCCACCAATGAAGTCCATGTGGGTCCTTCAGGACTTGTTAGCACTTTGGTGTTTCTGTACCATGATTCCTCTAGAACTCCAGATTCAAGAGGTCTTCTTAACCATCGACGTCAACTACCCTGCACAAAGCAAATTCAGATCCGGATTTCCAGCCAAGCTAATAAAATCCCCATGAACGTGGAGCACAGCACAGAAACACCCGAGTGGGTCTGCACAGAGCCAGCTTGGGTCCATCAGGACTTATTAGTTCTGACATTGTCTGAAAGCAGCTGCACTGCAAAGCTGGTCCTGGAAATAGCAGAGATGTATTAACATGGCACAGCACTTGAACTAATAAACTGTTAGTGCTGAGCTGAATCTGCTCTAGGCCAAATCTGGTGCCTGTATATCCACAGCATAGTTAATCTGCAACTGGAGAAACTGCCCCAAGAGTTGACTCTATTTCAAGCCCAGCATGCACAGCACTACCCCTACCCATGTGCCCAAATTTTCTGTCCTCATCATCCCTTCACACGACCAGTCCCTCTATCTACCCTCTTCCTGTTTGTTCATCATTTTCTTTTTTGACTATTCACATCCATTTCTCAATCTTCTTCTAAATGTCCATGATAAGGCTGCACAACATACTCCAGCAGCTTCAAGCCTTTCACGAGCAATGGTTACCACCCTCTCCTCATTCTACTTTCTCCACCAGACCAACACTTTCTAACCCCTCTCCTCCTGACTTCTGGCTTCCCCCTTTGTCCTGACCTTGGTGTTTCAATCACTAACATAGGAACAATTATGCTTATAAAAACAAAATAAAAAGATGATTGTATTGACATATCAA